TCAAGTTCTGTGCAACTATCTTATGTTTAACTTTTCCCCCTTTGCTAATCATTCCTACAAAAGGAATCCTTCCATTGTTTTCAAAAGACTTTTGAAACCTTTCAGATAACTTCCAGAGGTATATCCTCTCCTCATCTGTTCCTGGCCTTCAGAAATCTGTAGCGATTTCTAAATAGATGTGACAAGTATTCTTATATGGTGGAGAAATATCTAGTGGGATCTGTACACTGGATGACGGATGGTACAAAGAAAGAAGGATTCTTGGATGAATTCACTCGTCTCCAATCCCTCCTATTTTACTCTGATCCATGATTGGGGAGTCCTCGGACTTTCAATGGAAAGTGTCCGCTCGTTAATTCCTCCTTGCTTGCTATCATTTCCTGAGCTATTGCCTAGTCCACCATTTTGCTTTCTGATATCCTTTCTAATGGCAGTGGAATCACGGAAACGAGACGGCCAGCTATCCGCATGTGAAGTGAGCCTCGTTCACTACGAAGACATGGGCATCCCCAAGGACGTAGCGAAAATGGGCGTTCGCCATGGGATGTGGGGGACCGTCAAAAAGCTACACAACGGCATGAGAGCTTACCAGCTCATGAGGAAAACAACCGAAGCCCCCCTCTCTCGTTGTGCGATGATGGCCCACATCACCACTAAGGTCTCCGTTGGCCGGTCTGCTCTTCCCTCAGACTCTGAGGACTCCGGTTCAGAGGAAGCTGGCAATGAACGTCATACTGGCATCACTCGAAATGATCATCATGGGCTTGGTTGGAAGTGGGTTGTTATTGGAGGCGTGGCTGTTGTTTGCGGGCTTCGTTCTGGACTCATTGGAAAGACTCTTCTCCTTGGAGCTGCAGGGAGACTGGCCAGGAAGCGGTAGTGTTAAATGTACTAACACTTCGGTGCTATTTCGGTATTACCACCCTGTTACTTTACAAAATTTCAAGATACCGTTCGCTCGAGATAGTATCGAAAAGGAAGGTGGGGGGAAAGTGCAATTAACCATTATCCCATCTTTGATCGGCAGGTGTAGCTATTTTGAGACGTCGAGAGATGTGAGGAGGGAGGAGGAATAAACTGCATATATTATGCATCAGATAGAGGATTATATTTTTGTATACTTTTCGCAACCCGTCGAAATGTCACCTTGGTAACTCGTTTCTCCTGTTTTTTGTGATAGTTTTTTTTTTCTTTTTCCTGTCATGTTATTGTTATTGTGGTACGTGTATTATATATAGTATATATTTGTGCAACGGCTAATTAGATGTTGCTGTTAAGATTCTCTTGTTCGTCGTAATGCCAGTTTAAGAGACAAAATTCGAAGATGCTCAGGGAAAAGTACAATTGATTGTGATTCATCTTTAGAAAGCAATTTTCATTGTTAACATTGAGATGTTGAGAGTAGAGGTGGCAACTTTTTGACGCAACCCCATCGCCCTGACGCTATTATTCGACCTGTTATTAACGGGTATGGGTCACGTTATATGAGCCGGGTCATACGTGGGGTGAGACTCTAAATACCTAGTTATTAATTGGGTAACATAAGGGTCACCTGTTTAACTGACCCATTATTATAATCGCTTACCTAAAGTAAGCTACATGCTCCTCAAAAAACCTCTTGCTTCTGACGATGACTTTCCTCTCTACGACCGTGGAGGGAGGTGACGAACAATGAGCGGCGGCGGCGAGCGGCAATTATTGGAAGGGAAAATTTGCAAAATAGACCGTTTTTATAAAGTAATTAGCGAAATAGACCACTTTTGAGAGTAATTAGCAAAATAGACCTCTTTTTGACAAAAGAGGTCGATTTTAAAAAAATGGCTTCAGAAAACATACGGGACTACTAGTCCCGTATGTTTAAAGCTAACTAATCTAATGATTAGTCCACTAATCATTAGATTAGTTAGCTTTAAACATACGGGACTAGTAGTCCCGTATGTTTTCTGAAGCCATTTTTTTAAAATCGACCTCTTTTTGGCCTATTTGCCAAAGAGAGGTCTATTTTGCTAATTACTTTTAAAAGTGGTCTATTTCGCTAATTACTTTATAAAAATGGTCTATTTTGCAAATTTTCCCTTATTGGAATGGGTCTGCTCTTTGACAGAGGGACATCAAGCCCAGGGCAGTAAGCGAACTGAAGTCGGTAGAGGACGGTTTTTACTTCGACATATTCTGATTCTATTTGAGTACAAATTTTTGATAGATAGATTTAATGGGCAGGTTCGGCAAATTTCATAGTGAGAAAGGTATAAAATTAGCATACGAACATTAAAGGAGAACTTCCGCGTGAAATTTTTTTACGGTTTACTAAGATGCTGATTTTAAATTATTCGAGGGAATATAAAATGCTCCGTAAAGCAACTGGGGATATGTAAGTGCTACACGGGTGAAACACAATGTATTTTAGTGCAATTTAGCCGGGAAAAAAACAAGAGTGAGCCGCATACGTATATGTGGAGAAAAACTTATGTCAACTTAAGTGAACCATCCACCAAAGTTTTTATCCTTTGATAAAAAGTCTCCTCATATTATGCACGTATCTCTAGGTATCATCAATGGATAGAAACTTCGGTGGATGGTCCACATAAGTTGACATAAGTTTTTCTCTACGTATATGATTATTTTTAACGTGGCAAATGCAGCCACAGAAGAGAATATTTCCAGCTCACCCGTGCGTTATCTTGGGCTACTTATAGTAACTAGGCTACGTGCCTCGCTGCCCTCGCTCTCCCTTTGGAAAAATGCCGCACGCTTTATTTGAAAGGCAGGGAAACTACTCAGCCGTTGCATCGCATCGCATCGCATAAAAAGCCAAAGCTCAGACCGAACATGAAGCGTGCGTTTAAGAGACAAAATCAGTGAGAGATCCACTTCTTACTTATCTTTTAGAAAAAAAAAAAAAAAGTAGAAAGAAACTCATGAGCGTGTAACGCCCACCTTTTTGAGGTCTCACCTCCGGAACGAGTAGGATAAATTTTTTTTTATTTAAAAAAAAAATAGCGAGAGAAGAAAAACCCTGAACTTTGAGATTTTAGGTGGGATTTTCTAATGTTGTGGGGAGATCCACAGAGGAAATTTTTGTTCTTGGTTATGTTGTGGGGAGATCCACAGAGGCCTATTCAAACTTTATTACAAAAACCGACCCACTTCCTCATCACGTCAGCATCGTGGCCGTAAAGCGGGTTGATTTTTTTTAAACGCGATCCTAATTGGTCGGGGTTGGCAACCCCGACTATTTTGGACCTCCCAAACAATTTGACAACCTAATTATTCAGGGTTGGCAATCCCAACCCCGACTATTTTGAACATCGCCGACAATTTCGCAACCTAATTAGTCGGGGTTGGCAACCCCGACTATTTTTCGAAATGGTCGGGGTTCCCAATCTCTGACCAATTTAAATAGGTGCTAAAATAGTCGGGGTTACCAACCCCGACTAATTAGGTTGCCAAAATAGTCGGGGTAGGATCGCGTTTAAAAAAAATTCGACTCACTTCCTGCCCACGATGTTGACGTGGCTAGAAAGTGGGTCGATTTTCATAATTAACTTTGAAGTGGGTCGAATTTGGGGGAATAAAATTGGTAATGCGTTTAATTTGAAAAATTCTTCTTCCGTAAGACTCTCCAAACTTAACAAGAGGGGTTTTGTATGTCTTTAAAAGTTCCCGAAGGTTCCGCGCAAATTACCCCGAAGTACAGGGGCCCTTTGGTGAATTTTCCCAAATGAAAAAAAGGCGGAGGACCAAATCTACGATTATCAAACATGGCGATGGCCTTCACGTAAAATCTCCCGCTTCTTCCCCCTTTTTCTCTTCCTATAAATACCCCCTCTCTCCTCCCTTTTACAAAGCTCGAGACCTCTTTCTCCGCGAACAGTATCTTCTCCCGAGAATTTCCTCTCGATTCCCAAACCCTAACCCTAATCCTCTCCCATGGCGAACCCGCCGCCTGACGGAATGAACGACGACTTCTTCGACCAGATCTTCTCCATGCCGGCGGCCTACGGTGGCGGTAAGCGTATCCGCGACGATGATCAGGAGGTGAAGAGAAATCCGTCCGAAGCGGTGAGCGGATCTTTTTCACGCTTTCCCAAAGAAAAAAGTCCTATTTTTGCGGTTCTTAATTATTGGTCCCCTTAAACCCTTCATCTTTTTAAATTGCTCCCTCCTCAAATTAGTCATGGTAAGGTGCCCTTTCCATGTTGAGCTAATCTTTCATGTTTCCAAAACGAATCTAAAAGGAGGGAACGTTTAAGGGACCAATATGTAAAAGATGCTGCGTTTTTTTAGCTAAATGCCCTTAAATTGACGTTTATGACATTTGCAGGAGAGAGAGCATCCGGTGCAGTTGACGAGCTTGTTCCCGCCGTACGGACACGGCCAGGTTCATCACATCCGGCCTAATCCTCCTCCTCAAGTCAGCTAACTTTACCCCTTTTTTTCTTTTTTAAGAGTGATATAATTGATACATTTTTTTTGGTTAAAAAAACATTTAATTATTTATTTGTTATTGCTTTGATTAGGTTCTTCATGGGCAAGCACTGCAAGGCACAATGAATGTAGCTCCTCAACCTCCAGCTCCTCGGCCGAGAGTGCGTGCAAGGAGAGGCCAGGCAACCGATCCTCATAGCATCGCAGAGCGAGTAAATTACAATTCTTTCTAACCTTTCCGATGTTGAATTTGTTAATTTTTGAGTTCACAGTAGGAGATTTGTTTGTGATATTGTCTTTTATCGCTTGCTAGAAAGTGATGGGGGGAATTTGTTATGTGTGATGCTTTGTGCATCTTTAACACTTGCCTTTTGTTGTCGGGTTATGTAGCTGAGAAGAGAAAGAATTGCTGAAAGGATTAGGGCATTGCAGGAATTGGTGCCGAGCACGAACAAGGTAATGTATTGTGTACTTTTGGCTATATTGAAAAAAATAAGGAATTCAATTTGCCAATTGTTTATACACATGACATCATAATCATAAAGTGATCTGGAAAAGCAAGTTGGTGGAGTTGCAAAGGAATTTATCTAAAACATAAACCAGGTGAACTCATTTATTTGGGTTCGTGTGAAAATTGAGGTACTAACTGGAATCATGCAATAATTTTTGATATTGTTGACAAAGATCAGCTGCACATTGTAACAAAATTATATTTTTATTTCTCATCCTTTCATACTTTTAGTATTAGCGCTTAAGCAATTTAGTCTTTTTCTCTTTGCGGTTCCATGAAATCACTTAGAAATAAAGGTCCAAGCGCAAGGCACTCACAACCCAGCAAAATTGTGTGTAGAACATGTCCAGGAGCCTCCATGTTTTAGTTCTTTTTGTTTAAAATAATCATCACGTGCTAATTGGTAATGTAACAATGCGGTAGTGCATATAAAGAAAATTGTACAAATATGCAGTGGTTGTAATAATGTTGTCAATATATTGAAAATATTTAAGTCTTCTTTCTATGGAAAGCTTTCTTTCTTTCTTTTTTGTGTTCGGCATATAATGCTCTTAAATTTTAAGTTTGTTCTCTTTTACTTTACACAAATGAAGATTATATTTCACCCAGAGTTGAAGAGAATCGATCTTGAAATGCCAACTCTTCTTTTACTGTAAAATAAAGGCATGTATATCTGCCGGTTACTAAATCTAAATGTGGTCCTTCCTTCTGTTTTGCAGACAGACAGAGCAGCCATGCTTGATGAAATTGTAGATTATGTGAAATTCTTGCGCCTCCAAGTCAAGGTACAATACTGCAAACCAACAAGTTAAAAGCCACCACATTCAGAGACAATCCTCGTATATTAGAAAGACGTCTTATCATAGTAGTGGTTATCCATTTCATTCTAATGTATAGGAACTGCTCTTCAATTATAACCTTCTTCATGTTTTTTTTTAAGGTGAATGCCCTTCCTCTCATGAATAAGAGTTTCTCATAGTTTATTGGGGGCAATCCCTGATTCTATGATCTCTATCACATGGGTTGTTGGGGACAAGCCTTGAATCTATGACCACCCCCATCACATAGGTTTTCACCAACTAAGCACAGTTCCTTTGTTACTGTCTTTATATTTACATCTGAAATAACTAATCTTAGTCTGTAAGATATGATTTTCTGCCTGTGGTTTTAGTCGAGTAGGGAATAGGACAAAACTTCAAAACAGCCCTATTTGCAAACTTAATCCCAAAAACCAACCTGTTTCACCTTTATTTGCAAAAAACGATTTTGAAAAAAAGTTCACAAACTTCACGGGAGTTGAAGTCCCATGAAGTTTTTTACATAACAAACTTCACGGGACTTCAACTCCCGTGAAGTTTGTGAACTTTTTTCTGAAACTAGGTCGGTTTTTGCAAATAAATGAGAAACAGGTCGTTTTTGGGATATTAAGTTTGCAAATAGGGCAGTTTTGAAGTTCTGTCCGTAGGGAATATGATCACGGTACTAATATACTATAACACATAACATAGAAATTTCTGTGAATCCACTGACACACAAACATGCCAGTTCCTAAATTCTACTATCCCCTTATTCTCTTTAATTTATCTTATGTTTTTTGTATATCCGCTCATACACAAACATAGAAAGTAGAGAAGGAATATAACCAATGCTGTAATACATTTTGGAGCAGAGTCTACGTGCATCCAAGGAAATTCGCTTGTTTTTTAAAATTAAATTGATAGTGGTTATTACTCTGTAAAACAATTCTTCTTGGTTCACTTAATATATGAGCAAAAGAATTATTGGCCTACTTATTTGTATGAGTTAGTTTTCTTGTTTGTCAGGTTCATAGTGCATCACAACATTAGCTATTATTTGCAATAGCCACATAGTAATGATGTTTTTTACGTTCTTTAAACATCTATGGTTCCATACTTTCACATAAAATTCGAAGCAATTTGCTTCATCTACCAAACTTGCCAGTCTGCATAGTTTGTGCAGGTGCTGCTGCTGAATTAGCACATCTTATCTGGGAACTTTTTATAACCATTATACAATTTTTTGCAACTAACATAAGAGTTGGCGTTGTAAGCCTTGTAATTTGGAATGATATTGTTTTGAAAATTTTCCCTCAAATAATCTTAGTCCCTTTGGGCCACTGTACAGGTCATCATTAATTCTTTATATAAATGACAGGTTCTAAGTATGAGCAGGTTAGGTGGCGCTGGTGCTGTTGCGCAGTTGGTAGCTGATATCCCCCTGTCCTCAGTTGAGGTAATAAATAATCTGCGAATCAAATATTATGATTGCAGCTACCTAGAAAGTTGAATGTGCTTTTCCCTTCTCACTTGTTTACATTGCACTCCATGCTATTTTTATATTATTGATCAGTGCAACGCATCTTGGGATTTCATCTTTTTTAATGAATTACAACTTTACCACCTTTGTTACTAATGCTACTGTCACAATCGTTTTTTTGTTGTTATAATGAAATAGTAGTTTTTCTGTTAACACTTACAATTCATTAAACTTTATATATTGATAGTGAATTGTGCTGAAGCAATCAATCAGTCAAAATATGTTGAATAAAATTTTCTCTGTATTTGGCCAACATATGAAGTTATCATTCTCCAATTGAGTGATAATTTCTGCATGTCAAACACTAAACTAACTGTTCCTATGGAAAGTATGGATCGTCTGCTAGTGTTTGTGCTCTTATGCACGACTGACAAGACTCTTTTTTGGGTATAAGTCATTTGAGATGTGATCTAATGCGGTAGTCATATTAGGCTTTCAAGAAAACAGTACGTATTTTGCTGCCAATATCTGTTCCCCATTCATGTATGGAATATAGTGCTTCATGTCATTCTTATTAACTTTCTTTACCATTTGGGATCTCTGTCCCTATTTGATAAACCAGAATATGCTCCCAAATTTAATGTTTGTCGTTGCATTCGCTATGCTTTGCCACGCATTATTACTCATACCACTACATATACTTCTCGAGTAAACAGTGTCATTTTCATACGTCCCAACATTTTTGTCTCCTGAGATAGTCCATATCATAGGCCCTCGAACTTCTTTTAAATCAATCGGCAACACCAACTACCCCCACAAACTCATCCTCCCACCAACACACACTACTACATGCGCGTGCAGACACACAAACCAGACCAACAAAGAAAAAGAGGAGAAGGAAGGAAAAGGACAGCAAAACAAAGAAAAGAAGCTCATCAACATGTTCTGCTTTCCTTGTATAATAAAATGCTTTAATGAGGCGGTAAGCCTCCATAATTTATTTGCTGGAGAGGATCCAACTGGTTCTCAGTGAGAAGCATGAGGTGGCTAAGTCGTACAACTAGCACCTTCTTTTCAATTAAATTTGAATTGTGAATTTTAAAGTAGGTTATCTAGTAGATCATTAGTGGACAACTTTTTACAATCATTTGGCATTCTATTTCTTCTTGAGTTAACCAATCACTTACTCAATTCTGTGGAATATTTTATTCTACATGCTTCTTGACTATTCAATAGCATGCTTGGTGTCAAGATCATCTCTTAGAACGAAAAAGAGGAAAAGGAAGGAAAAAGGCAACAAAACAAACCACACACTCGTGAATGTCTTTTTTCATTTTATAATAGACTGCTTGAATGATTGGGGAAACCTCTATTGATTTTTGTTGAAGAAGGTCCTTACTGGTTCTCAGTGCGGAGCATGAGGTGTCTAAGTTGCGCGACTAATCCCTTCTTTCAATTAAATTGGAACTCTGAATTCTAAAGTAGATTATCTAGCAGACCATGAGTGAGCAACTTTATGTAATCATTGCCATTTTAGTGCAACCAATCATTTATTATCCTCAATTCCTAGAATATTTTATTCTTCATGCTTCTTGACTATCGAATAGTATGATTGAACCTATCTCATGTTCTTTTCTTTCTTTATTTTGTTTGTTGACACCAGGGAGGAGACACAAGCGATGGAAGGACCACGCAACAGGTATGGGAGAAGTGGTCAACCGATGGCACGGAACGCCAGGTAGCAAAGCTAATGGAAGAAGATATCGGCGCTGCAATGCAATTCCTCCAGTCCAGAGCCCTCTGCATTATGCCAATCTCCCTTGCAGCTGCAATCTATCACACTCATCCCCAGCCTGAATCTTCGTCAGTCAAACCCGAACCCAACACCCCTTCGTAAACTTGGACCTCCTCCCATCTGATGCCACTGATAGTATTAACCTTCTATTCCTATAGAAGAAAATCATACAGGGAGGTACGAGAATCTGACACGTGCCCCCCGCCCCCGAGCAGAAATCTTAAAGCTATTGGTTAATAATAACCACCCAACTTCAAATTTTCGACGAGACACATGTAGATATGTTGTGATCTCCTCTCTCCCTACAAGACTTTCTACGGATGGCCCCCCCATAGGATTGTTTCCGTTCCCCTCTGAGGTTCTTTCCTTGCTGTCGTCAAAGGCGGTGTTAGATTGCAAGGGAACGGAAAGAGGGAGAGAATCTATACGTATACTACTAGTCAAATATATCCAAAACTTTGAGCGCTTTTTTCAGGGGAGAGGAAAAGGGGAGGGCTTTAGTAGTAGGTCTTTGCCTGCTATTATTTTGCTTTTTGGTGGGGGGGGTGTATAAGTGCGCTAATTGATGACCACTTCAGTGGACTGGTGGGGAGCTCTTTTTTTTTGGCTTTTGCTTGTGGGGTGTGGGCCCAGCTAAAAGGCATGGATGTGTAATTGTGTATAGATTATCTCATGTTTTTTTTTTTTTGTCTTTTGATAGAAATGGGAAGGAGGTTCAAATGGATGATGATGGCGATGATAAAGTGGTGGTGGTGGTGGTGGTGGTGATAGTCTCCTCTTTTACTTATATTAGTGATGATGATATTGGGGGGTTGAGTCAAGAAAGTTGGATCATGCACATTAACTTGCTTGGTAGTGGATGTTGATTGTGTCTCTTGAAAACAAAATTGCGTACAGGGCCCTTCTATGGAGTTAGGAGATCATCATACAAGTGTCTGGTGTAGGACTTTAGAGCTGGTGCTCGCGCTAATAAGAAATTTCTTCTAATCGTTCTGACGTAATATTCTGATTCAATTGATACTGTATAATGAGTTGAGCGCGCTGGTTTAGAAATTAGAACTCCTTCCTCCTCTTATGATCCTTCTTCACGAAGCCCCTCCCCTCTAATGGGATTTTTTTTCGTATCGCCTTGATTTTTCTTTTTTTAACAGGTCATTGTGTGGACAGAGACCCGAGTCAAGCATACGCGTCTCCTTGTTTGTCGAAAGCCAGCTAGTCCATGGCACACTGCTATCTACGGTGGTGCGCGATGAGCGTGTAAATACTTCTCAAGGCTGTTGGATATGCTTCTGCGTCAAGATCTGTTGTCGAACGAGGGATATACGGCAAGCTAATAAGCCTGTAAACGTCCAAGTTTTGCAAAAATGTATTTTCTGACGCGATAAGACGTCGAAGCTTTCGCAAAAATATAATTTCTGACGCAGTATCTGAAATTATTGTCCAGTTGTAATTCGTAATGCATCAAGTTCTTGATATTGGTAAAAGGAGTCTGATAAATGTTGGGTGATAGGTCACGTTCTCGGAGAAATAGTGAAATCGCCTTTCCTGCTCTTCACCCAAACAGGCTTTATAACAATCTTTTGTCAAGCGTACCTTGATTATACTTTGGAAATGGAGCTAGAGCTAGTAAGCAATCCTTTGTCAAGCGAGTCTTGATTATACTTTGGAAACGAAGCTAGAGTTACTAAGCAAAGCTTGATTACATTGTGGAAATGACAGAAAGTTGACAAATAAATGATAAAGCTTATCATGCTTAAAATAAAAAAATTCAAAACAAAACAAACAAATGATAGATCCTATTACACATAATAAAAAAAAAACATTTCATTTATTACAATTTTGGTCAATATAATAATATCAACACGAGATTGACGCGCGAGAAAGAAATGACATATTCTTCTGCTCGGCCATAGATTTAGTAAATTTCCAATATCCCGCGAGACATCAGTTAAATAGTATAATTTTATAATTTAATAAAATTTTTGCAACACCTACCCGTTATACCCTCATTTAACAATTCCTCTTGATTCTCATTTTCCTTATCATGTTTATCGTGCTGTAAAACACTTTTCTCCCGGTTTCGCACCAAAAAGAACGAATGAAGAGCGTGGACTCGCATTTAGTATGTTTATTTATTATTATTATTTTATAAGGGGGAAATACTAATTAATTGCAGGGCATCATCAGGCGCCGCTTTAAAACATGTAAACTACACGTTTATGAGAGCCGTTTAATAAAAAGTAATTTATCCCCTTTAAGAAACCTCAAGATGCCTCTCGGGGAATCTTGTACAGAATACTACTATTCGCTAGTTTTTTTTTATTCTCTCCGGAGATAATGAATATATACTTTACGCTCATTTGATCGGTTTTGACCAAATTGAACCCCACTAATTCCGTTTGCTTAGGTTCCAAACTTTGAACGGTCGCGGTTTCAAATTTTCTCTTTTTAGGGCATCTCCAACAGCTTTTTTAAAATTTTTTCTAAAATAGAAAAACAAAAATCATATTCTTTAAATTATTTTAACACCAACTCCAACAGCTTCCCCATTTTGAAGAATTCTTTTTTTTCCTCTAAAAATTTGAAGAATGCTGCAGATTTGAAAAAGCTTCCCTATTTTTTCTCCTCCATCCCTATTTTGGGGAATGAGATGAGGAATCTGTTGGACCAAAAACCTAACTATATTCTCCAAAAATGGAAAATAAGAAAGCTGTTGGAGATGCTCTTACCTCCGCCGACGTAGAAATTAAGAAGAGCGCAATATTATTTTCAAAATATATAGAAAGATGCGCATGATCCTCTTCGTCCTCTATGGCAGTTGCTGTTCACAGAATTCCGAACCAAAGCAAGGAAAAGAAATTAGAGCAACAGCAACCAATGACCTCCTGTAAATAATAATAAAAAGAAAGAAGGTCCTCCTCATTGTAAAGGTACAGTTTTCTAGAATGCACAAAAGAAAAGTTCAATTATGAGGTAGCAAAAACTATTACAGAGAATTTGCTTCTAATAACTAGGAAGAATCACTTTTTTTCACTGCCTAATATCTGAGATCTGTTGTAGGGAGAGCCTAACTTCCTAAGAACAAGCTTTACTCGCTTCAAAATAAAGTCTAGCTTTTCCATTTTTGCTTTATCCTAAAAGAAAAATCACAACAATTACTACCTATACTGCCCATTTCTATTCAAAACCATATCATACCATTTATATTTTTCACCGTCTTACTCATTAATTATTTTATATGAACCGGAATAAGTAAATTACCAGCAAAGAAACCTGCATGACATAATAATAGACAGGTGCAGAGCATTGTAGAGATAACGTTACACAAGTCTCATCCATGAGTATCAGATACATAAAAAAAGTGGGGCTACAAGTTGAAACCGAAAAAACTATGGTCACCGATTCAGATGGAATAAAAGAGAGTGCACCTCGCACACAAACGAATGATACTGTGTAGATACTGTGATCATCGAGCATGCCCCTTTCGCTGCTTTTTGGAAAAGAAGCGAGGAAAGAACATATAGCATCAGCGCCATTTAGATCCGACATTATCCTCGGTTCATGCCTGAGAAGATGAATGTCAAAAAAAAAGGAAGAAATAACAAAGCAGCTGCAAATAATTTAGAAGTATACCATAAATGCATACATAAAAGATTGAGTTAAAAGAAATAACATGCTAAGAACTAAAAGCATCACAAAATTCACTTTATTGAATCTCGAATATACCAAAAAAATGATGTAGCTTGGAATGTTCAGAAGCATGCATCAGTCTCACTACCCATTGAGAAAAGAATCGATACAGAAAATTACTTTAAGCAAGTGAAAAGATAGATGGAAAAAAATCCCCATCTGCAACTTCGTCTAAAGCTTGTGCTGCCTTCCTCAGTTATCGAGTTTCTTTCCAATCTAGAGTATAAAGTATGGAATCTGAAATTGATGTTGAAATGCAATGGAAGGTTAATCATTCTAAATGTTAGAAGAGGAATGGAAGCAACTTATCGATCCACATTTAACATGTCTAATGCTTCAGAGATGGAGACAGGATTTTCATTCAGCTTGGGCACAAAATTCTCAAACATGATTTTTCAAAATGAAAAATATCGATCATTTTCATAAAACGAGCGGAGTTTTTTCTAAGACAAAAAGAAAATATATAAAGAAAAAATTTTACATTCAATTATTCAAACGATTACATCTAATATTCACTTCTAACTTGCTGTTACCAAATGAATTAAATTACATATGGTCGTGAATAAAACTTGTAGAAACATCAATTCATCAAATATTTATAGATAAGTAGTTAAGTAAACTAGTGAAAATTTCATGTCTTAAAATTTCATAAGAGCAAGATGACAATTTGCAACTAAAATATGCCAGAAATATTAACAAACCTTAAATAAAGTAAAACAACAATTACTTATCAAAAGTGTCATTAGAAGTGTAGAGCAAAATCTGTGCAGTTATTCAAAGAGAGATAGTGGAGGTTAATAATGGAGATTGTATAGGGGATAAAAACTATGAATTATGGTTTATAGTATTTTCCCCCTCTCAAATTTCTTAGCCAAAAAATCCTTTTAGGGAGAGAGGAGTCGACCCTAACATAGACTTCATGGTTTAATTCAATTAGAATGAAGATTCTTTTAATTTAGTTTTGATTAGGGATTGATTACCGTGAAAAAGTTTTTATAATTCAATAGTTGAGCTTTAATGCTAAGGGAGAAGTTTTTGGTGATATACAATGAAAACGAGATTTTAGGTTGGGCATTCTCCTTAATTACTGGGTGTAATGGGTATTTAATTTAGGATGTGTGGTAATTTAAGCTACATATAGTAATAGTAACTTCCTCAAATTCCAGGTTGGGCATGTGGCACGTGGCTAATACATGGATCCAGCCCCCTAGTTCTTCAAGTTTTATCATACCGTTAAATTGCCTCTTCAATCTAAGGCTACTCATAATGCATAATGTTCCTAGCTATAAAGCAGTACTCTCATGTGTTTAAGGAGATTCTATGTTTTATTGCCATGAACCGTCTAGTTTGAAATATAATTGTATTTTCGTGTTTCACAGTTTTCCTATCACTTGAAGCTCCAATATAGTACTAGTATAATCTCCTAAAAGTTTTGGGTTTAAATGTGCCTTGTCTTAAGGTCATTGAGGGAGGCGATGCTCCTGAACGTGCAGAGCCAGATAGGAAACGAACTGTGCTCAGTTATCTCAGGCAGTGTTATCTCGTGCGCATTGAGGCAATCGCCACGGGAGCTGAGCGCTTTGGGGCGCCGGAAATGCGCCTTGCATGAGGTGCAGGGCGCATCGCGTAAGCAAGGCAGATGCCTCGTTGCGCTGCGGTGCGCCTCATTTCACCTTGCACCTCACTACTACTTACCATTTTTCCAATTATTTTTACTACATTTTATTCCTCCTCTTACTGCCTCTTTTGCCTTTGTTCCCTCACTCTTTCTTCTTTTCCCCATATATTATTCTCAATTTCTCTTTTTTCTCAGTTATTCTTACTACTTCTATATCAGGAGGATTAGAACATTGATTAAGAAATCACAAACTATTATTCTATATATCATGATATCAGTTATTAATAATGTTAGTGATTATGAATGCATGATTTCATAGCAAATGCTCTCTAATATTTTTTAACGTGATTAATTACTGAATATATGGAAGGGTAGAGTTAAATTGACATTAACACTCTTTTTAGTTTTTAACTAGTGCTAAGATTATGAAATAAGACGTTATTTTGTGATTTGATAGGTGGTTATTATCTTAACATATTTTTCCTACCAAAAGTCAAAAGCATGTCGCTTGTTTAATTTGATTTATTTATCAAATAATTTTGTTTGTGGTATGCGCCTCGCTTCATTGAGGTGCGATCATCACCTTGTGCCTTGTGCATGATGCACGTAAGAGGACTTTGCGCCCCGCATTGTGCCTTGCGCCTTGATAGCACTGGAAGTACGAGTAACGGTGAAGTCCATACGATGTCCAACGGTGACAGTAAGAGCAGGTTACGAGCAAACGTTATAGTAATGGCTCAAGTTCCTCGCATTCTCATGAGAAGGAAAAGAAAAGAAAAAGGGTCCAGCGAGCTTTATGGGCATGACAGCTGAATGATTCATGAACTGTGTTGATGGTTTGTATGTGATATGGTCTATATCTCTTGGTTGATGGATGATAGTTAATTCTAGACATGGTATGACTTGGGGTATAAATCATCGAGTTTCTTTGAAGTTAGTGATGGTCAGTGTTGTAAATAGCGGCCAATAGCGGGGCTATAGCGGCGCGAATAGCGGTCGCGGCCCTTCAGCGTTACGCGTAGGGGTTTCGTGTCTGGCTTAAGCGGGAAAATCCGCTATTCATTAGAATAGCGCGTAAAAGCGGATTTTAGCGGGTTAAAAGTGGGTTTTCACGGTTAAAAGCGGATTCTCGCGGTTTAAAGCGGATTTTCGCGGTTAAAAGCGGCTAAACCCGCTATCACACATATTATGATGCTATACTTCTTGAATTTCTTCATAGTTTCATTCATACAACAAGCCTACTAATTGTTATTTACTGATAATACAAGAAATTTACAACTAATTGAATTTTTAGATTTTTTATGAATTTTCTTATTATTTAGGATATTTAAATATATTTAAATTTAACCGTTATTTGACTGTGCGCTATTTGCTGCGATTTCGACGCAATAGCCCGATATAGCCTTAACGGTACCTCGCCGCGACGCGATCCGCTATCAGCAACCTTGGTGATGGTATTAAGATTGAGGTAGAGTGCAATGTCCAAATGATCCAGAAGTTCTGACCAATGTGGAGCATGATGCGATCACAGTGGTCTACGTGAGATAGGTTGAGTGATCAAGCGTGTTTGTTTGGAAGACAATGATGACTGTACCCGCATTTGTTCAGGAAGTTGGAGCATGTAGCATGCGTGGAGTTAGTCTAAAAAGTGAATAACGAGATTATCATATCTTGGTTGTGTGTAGCCTGGAGGATCGTGCAAGGGCTAATAGAGCCGGCAAGCAAGCATGAGCGAGTTATACACTTGGAGACGGTTGCATCCAGCTTGGGGTTATAAGACAGATGGAGTTCATGTCTAGTTTTGAGAAAGCGCTGCAAGAGGAGCGCCGAAATAAGCGAGTGAATTGACCAACTATCCGGCTCAGTTTTAGTGGCAAAAAGCACTTTGGACTTTGGGCATGCTACAGAAGTGGAGTCACAACTACGCGTGACAGAGAGCTATGGTGCACTTGGGTGTAAGTGCAGTCACTCCGGTTTACTATGTGGGATCTTCGTTTAAATTACAAGAACATGGTAACAACAAGAAAGTTCTATCAAGATGGTTATTTGATACTCGAATTGTATGGTGAAGTCAAAAGAAATTAAAAGACTTGAATGTCTTCTTGAACTTAATAATTGAATAACAATATTTGAAAGTTGATTTGAAAGTGGAGAATTAATTAGGTGAAGAAATCTAAGGCCTAATTTGATACGCCGGAATGAGTGGGAATGAAATGATAATTCTCACTTCTCATTCCTTTATACCAAACACAACCTTTTTTGGAAGCTAGAATGCTCATTCCCACTTCCCCTACATTCCCTAGTGGGAATGAGCATTCCTAATGAGATGATAAGCAATGAACATTCCCACTTAAGTTGGAATTAAGAAAATGCATAACTTCTAAATATGCCCATTTCTGTTTCATTCTCTAAATTCCGTTCAAGCGTGAGAATGGAAATGAGCATTCCGTCCCAACACTAATTTATTCTATTCCTTGCTTTATTCCATTCTCACTTCACTAGATTCCCACGTACCAAACAATGTGTAAGTGCCTAATTCTACCGTTATAAAAGGAGGGGAGGGGTATAAGAAGCCATCAAGAGTCTTGGTTTTCCTTTACAATCGTCGGTATTCTATAATTGTATTAGGTAGTGATTGGGATCATCAAACATATAGTGGGTTAGTTGGTAGAAGGCTTTGACTCGGGTGTGAGTGAGAGAACTGTCTCCTTTACTTTGTACTGTTATCTTCAATAGTGGAAGTTTCTTGTCGCACTGCCCCTTGGCTGCTTAGGCCAAACAACATAAATATTGGTCTCTATTATATTATTTTCTTTCCTAGTCTCGGGTAGGGTTGATTTTAACCCAACAGAGACCAAACACATCCGTGATTTTTGGGCCTTCACATCATTACTGTAAAGCTAGATGGAAAGAACTAAATAGAAGTTCGTGTTTACTTTCATTGGTGCAACAGAGACCAAACATATCCGTGATTTTTTGGGCCTTCAGATCATTCTTGTAAAGCTAGATGTAAAGAACTAAATAGAAGTTTGTGTTTATTTTCATGGGTGCAATAGGAACTAAATCTATTAATTAAGCCAAAACAATTTCTTCCAATGATAGTTTAACTGGTATTTGTTGATGATAAAGCCGCTAAAGAATGAGAACAAGGTAATTACTTGGCGATGACCTTATTATGCAATATTACAAAAGTTGTCAATTCTGCTAGTTCATATTTCATGACATTACAAAGGATATATGTGAGGCATTTTATGATATTTCCTTTGCAAAGCAAAATGCATTTCAAATCTTCGATGCATATGAGGATACCTTTATTTGAACAAAGAGGCACATGTTTAGATAAGTATCATGGCTACTTCAAAGGTATGATTGATGAACTTAAATAATATCAACCTTCTACGCATGAAATTATTGAAACTCTCAAGAATATGTTTCGTATTAGGATCGAGCTCTTCTTTGAAACCACCCCTCTCAAAGATCAAGTCACTTCCCAACATAACACTCATTGGGCATTGTTTGGAAGAAGGTGAGGATAACATCACTAAGGCATGATTTGAAAGGAGGTGAGGTGAGGTGAGGTGAGGTGAGGGACAATGAAAAATGAACTAGAGAGAGAGTGAGTGAGAGAGAGGGAGAGAGAGAGAGAGAGAGAGAGAGAGAGAGAGAGAGAGAGAGAGAGAGAGATTTCCCCAAACTGGAAGGGTACAAGAGGACAGAGAAAGTGAACTACAAAAGCATCCACCCCCGCACAGCCCACCTTCAACCCCAAACATGAAAAGTAAAAGGGATATACATCCCTCCACCTCATTGCATCACACCTCACCTCCCCTCATCTTCCCTCCTCAAAATCCCTAGCAAGCCAAGCCTAAACCCCTAACAAATAAAGCCTGAATAGAGTTGATGTGTTCATACACATGAGACCTGCCTAGGATATACTTAATGAGGATCACCATTATCTGTTATAATATCATGTTTCACTAGGTAGATCGAGTTTACTTTCAATAATAATCAATGAAGAAGCATTTGAAAAAATAGACAAGTTCCCTGAGCATCCCAACACATCGTTTATGTGTACTAGCAACACTTATCAATCTTCCTGTACTGATCATATTGTAATTTACTAATTTATCACGGCATCCATATAAGTAGGCTCATCCACCATGGATTACTGATCTCTGACAAAAGATTTGGAGGTGATCTGTGACAAAATGCAATAAATATAAAATGGAGATGAAGAACAATTCAGACTACAAGGATCAAGATGCTAGTGTCACCAAAAGATAGCTAACAATTTACTTGGATGATATGCTAGAATCTATTTTTTATTTATTATCTAAGATGATTTTAAGGTCCAGACTGAAAAAACAGCAAGCATCACCAAAGTATTAATAACTGAATGAAAATAAACATATGAATTGGTCTGATAAAATGAGATGTCCGTGGGTTTCCAGGATAGTTGAGATCGCCTGAGGCAAGGCTACTGAGTACAATCCGGCCTTGTTTTCAGTTAAGGAATCAGGAATGTATTTTGCCTAACAGATTTTTCTGAAAACATATAATAGCACCTAAATCAATATTAGTTTCACTTTGACTATTTAGGTAATATCAAGTACTACCAATTTTTTACTATGATTAAGTTTAAAGAACAGGAAACACATTAAGAAAATGATTAGCTCAATAAACTTGTGGTGTTACTCTTTGTTGTGAAGCAAATATAGATCAGCAAACAAGGAAAGAATAGTAAACAAAGGATTTAGCCGAACCTGCTTTTTCTTCTTAGGCCTCCTCTTACGACGAGGTTTATGAGCATCAGAGTTTGAACTCAAATTGCTATTATGGTCTGTCCTTGACTTTAGTGAGCCGTGATTTCTGTGGGAAGGGCCACTTCTACTGTTTGATGTGTTGCTGGATGTGGAAACTTCAATTTTATCTAAAGAACGATTTCTGCTTGATGGCAATGCCCGTGGTGGAGGCATGAGAACTCGAGCGGACATCTGTCTCTGCATAAATCGATGAGACCTATGTCAATGAGAATTGTTGAGGAAAATAATTAACATCAAAAGTAAGAAGCATGCAAAAGCAACCTGATCCTTTTCATCGCTGGACATGCCAGATGCTGCTTTGCCAGAAGTACTTGATGCTGGTTCTCTACAAAACATGGATTAAGAAATCTCATCATCAAGAAAGTTCAATTTATTGCTAAGCCAATCTGTTTGATAAAAAATTTGAGTTGAAGTATAGACTAAATAAATCAGATCAAAATACAGTACAGTATTTCTTCATGATAAAACAAAGGTACCATTAAAATGGTAACATGTAAAATACTTCTCCATGAAAATTAGTATGTCCAACATACTAGGACTGTCCATGCATGTCCAACATTTATGTATAAACCAGTATTCACCTTCAAAATATGTATAAATGAAGAATGTTATGCCCCCTTATTATGAAAGTTATGCTCATACATTGTGTTGCTAAAATTAAGCTTTGTCAGTATATGATATATACATATATTTACTAGTCAAAATACACATAGAAGAAATGTGCACATGTAGCATATCCTCATGTATGGACTGCGAACAATTGCCATATCCTACGATTCATCTATATCGAAACACAATACTAGCATTCTTTCTGAGGTACAAACGTACTGTGGTAACATGGACTACTTCTCATTTTCACCTAAGTTGATTTTATGGAGATTCTAAAAGGAAGACTTGCATACAAGGTTTTTGAAAGAGGAGCTCATTGAAAATGCGATTTTGTACATCAGCACTTGGCAATAATGTCAAAGTGCCGAGGTTAAACGGATCAGTTCTTGAGGTGTCAAAAGCACCCAGGTGCTCATCTGAGGTATGCAAGAGAAGGTGTCTTTTGTGCCTCACCTTTGTTTTGAACTTTGAAGGGCTTATTCAGCCCAATTTAACACAGTAATTTACTTAATTTATGTGCTATTACTTCAAGTGTACTCCAATGAGCCACGTTATATCCTTTTAAAAAGGGTAATACATTAAGCCAGATTAGGACTTATTAACAATCATGACTCTTTAATTTGCTCTCCTTCTTTCTTCATTGGCCTTTGGTGGAAATCTCTAGGCCTCTTTGCACTGGTGGCCACTAACAATCACCAACTACGAACAACCACCATTGACAAGGTAAATTTATTTGGTTTTCATTAACTTTGAAATTTGCTTTCATGTCTATTTCTTTGTTATTTTTTTAGTTTAATTTTTGAGGTAGTGTGGTTTGGTGGCATGTCACATCTTGAAAATTAAAAGTTCAAATTTTGTCACTTAAATTACGGATGTCAATAGTTACTGGAAAACTAGTTCGTATTTAATACTTCTCAGTTACTATTTTATTTAAATGATTTATGTCTTGTTAATTATCATAGTTTCTGATTTCAAGCATCCTGTTGTGATCCATCTATATACCTTTTCATTTATTGAGATTATGTTTGATTGCATATTATTTGTTTTATTATCATTATTATAATAATTATTTTTATTATTTTGAATACTTATTGCATTGGTTCACTCAGGCAATTGTTATTTTTAGGACATGTTGCCTCAGGCTGCATAGAACCTCATTGTTTTCACCTTCCCTTTCGCCTTTCAAACACAACGTACAGAAAAAAGGCCAATGGTTGGTTACCCTCCATAATCATCCTATGTGGGCACTAATTTGCACTTCCGAGATAAAAGCCATATGGTAATGGATAAAGAGATAAATATAGTATGCACCATATACTTTGTAACAACTTCAGGCACCTCCCAAAATCATGATTTACCCCTAATTTCCTTCTGTAGTTTCTTTATTTATCTACTTCCCCTTCTTTTCGTTCCATCTTTGCATCTCCTTTCATTTATTCCCTTCCCGCCTGAGCCAACTTAATTACAATTGTCTAATAATCATAACATCTTCTGCAATGACCCTTTGTTACTGTGAAACTAAAGCCCATGCTAGATTATGAACTTTCCCAAATCATAATGATATAATCAAAATAAATAGACCTTTTTATATGGAATTCAAGTTTGAAACATATCGGATGAATTGATAACTTAAGACTGGTAGAAGAATGTAGAGGCTTACATTAGAGTGGCAACCTATGTAGGAAAGAGAATCCCAGATTATTGTTCCTTGGAAGCCACTTTTGTATCTAACTCAAATATATCAACAAATTTTTCAACACTAGAGCTAGATTTTCTACAATACTAAAGTTCAAAGTTCAAAACTTCAACTTGTAGAATTTATTATCCAGTTAATAGCAACAGACAAAGATGTACATGTTCATGTCTGTGTGCGCGCATCAGGAAAATTGATATTGTTGCATACATACATACATGAAGCTTGTCAATAAATGCATAACAATGCTTCGATTACTGCCGTATGACCAGCAGTCCATCATTTGTCAGTTATCTAGTGGAATTCATCCTGAATCAATGGTTGCAGGGAGTACATGTATGATTGCAGGAATATGCATGCACAATGATCTGGAGTCCGGACATAGAATGACATTTATGACTTCTGATTACTTTCTACACCTTAGAATTGAAGGTAGAGCAAATTTATGAAAACCATGTCATTCACTAATATATATATTTATGGCGCAATAAAATCTCGTAGTGATTTCTGACACAGAAAAGATCTCAATAAATCTAAACATGAAGGATCCCTTGAGAACTCCATAAGCCATTAATAATTTGCAATTTGGGATTACAAAAAAGGAAGAGAGAGAAAGAGAAAAAGACGATGCTACAAAAGCAATATAGATCTGAACTCAAATCAAAAAAAGGTTCGAGCAATTTGCGGTCCAGAGTATGATCCCATCTCGTTTACTACATGAACCAAGTGTCACTTTGTTTTCTCCTTCCGTAACTGCTACCTTTTTATAGGATAGCAACAACGAACCCTAGCATAACCCTTTTAATGGGAGGAACAAACTATTCCAAGTATAAAATTAAATTTTTGGCATGTGCATGTTCAATTGCTTAATGATACAAAGTAACAGTGTAACACCAAACGAAAACGTTCACTCTTCTGCCATATTGTAAGGTTAGGAACAGAGAAATGATTTAAGACCTATTCTAATATAGATTTCAAACTCACCAGCTAGATGGTTAATGTCAAGTAAGAAAAGGCCGAGCTGTGAGATATTAATTTCACAAAAGTTTCAAAGAGAGAGGAGTATTTTCTTTCTCAAGGAATCTGATAATGTGTTTCCATCAAATGCTTGCGTAAGTTTTATTGCATCTGTCAACAGTCCAACAATATATAACCTCATATAGCATTCCTGTTCAGTATGATGAGCTTACAAGCAAATAACAGATTCTAACGGGGGAAAAAATCAAGTGATGGTACGCAAAAGGAAGATACCCTACCTTGCACTTTTATCTGTCCATTCATCATCTGCCTCTGCGTCATCACTTGAGCTTCCATTCAAGAAGAAATCATCATCACTCATATCCAGTGCATCATCATCACTTGCTGTTTCTGTTAATCCAACAGGAAGAGAGAGAGTTTATAGGACAAATGAAAGGCATCCTGACATAATATGTACATATACAGGTAGTTTAGAAAATCAGAGACGGTAATAGATGGAAAGAAGTTGGCATAGTTTTTAGTGTTTAAAGGTGGAAAGAACAAGCACCTTCTAGATCTTTTCCACTGGCAGCAGCAGCCACGAGGTTAGCCTTAATTTGTTCACGCAATTTGTTTCTCTTGTTAGTGATAGTAGGGTTTTCTCCTCCAACAAACAAAGAGACATATTTCTCAGTTTTGGGGAAGAACTGCATTAAAAAAGCAGAATCAGTTATCAATCTGATATTGATATGTGTATCATGCAAACATCAAGTGCTCAGAGTTCGGCATAAGAACATCTAAGACAGATATTTATATAATAGAGAAAATATATGCAACTCTGTCAGTTTGGCAAATTAATAACAGTTAGTAGTAACCTATCTGCAAACTTACAAAAGTAAATCACCAAATCAATGAATCATTCAACAATTATTTTCTGTTTTCATGATTCATAAGAAGTTTATTTTATAGTCTATGTCATTGCGTTAATAATTTGAACACGTATAACTTACCCGAACATATTCAAGATCTTCTTTTAATCTGGAAAGCTGATTAGAAATTGTTTCCTCGGATGCATGATCAGTAGCTGATGCACGTTGTTTCTCCAAACGTCTTATCATCCTCTCAACCTTACGTCTCTCTAATTCATAACATGTCCAGTTCAATATAAAAGAGTTATATCGAGAGCAAAATCACAAATGTTATGCATTACATAAAGTGCTAACTTATTTATGCATATATCTATAAAGGCTTACCAAAAAATTTGATCTTTTTATCCCTCAAATGTATTTTGCGTTCTGTAGCCAAACGAAATTGAAGCTCCTGATGTTTCTTCAGTTCATCAAGTTTCTTTTCCTGAGCCTCCCTGACCTCAGGAGGAAGATTCTTCAATGTTTTATGAAAAAGGGTAAGTTAGAAATAATTTTACAAAAAATGCATGTGTCTAAACCACACAAAAGATGCCCACACATCAAAATTTAGCTATTGAATGGCACTGTACTTCCAATTTTTAGTGGCAAGATAATTAACACATCACTAGATAAACAGCCTCAAGGCATGAAAGATGGAACTTTGCAGATGTCCTAGAATATGAACCCCAGGTTAAAAAATTGAATAAACATGCATATGTATGTCATTGCATTAACAAATTGCTATATGTTTCTACCATCTGCTACTATTATTAGTAGGAGAGATTTGTGATAAATCTCATAAATCGTTAGTTTCCTCTTTTTTAATATTCTAACTTAAAACTTATATCATGGTATAAGTTACACTCTAGATGATTACATTCAATATCTCTAATATGCACATCAACACAAGTAGTGTACATGCAGCAGATTTAGGTGAATGGATGATATAACAATTGATGTCCAAAATGCATGAAACTAGTTCCAAATGACTCTATTATGAGTCTAATTTCAGAATATAAAATTTTTGCATCAATGTGTGGTGTATAGTAAGAGTTATGCTCTCAGCAAACTACACCTATTAATATTGCAACAGAAAAACAGAGATTGCTATTTTGAATGAATAATTCATTTGGGGTAATTAACACTACGCAAATGAGCTCCTATTTGGTATATAAGTAATATGTTGGATTAGATTCCAAGTCCCATGAGTTTCATCAAATTTTTATTTTTATAATGCATGTTACATGCAAAACAACACAAGGGGAGGGGAGCAGACTGGAATTGTCAGTACATATATTAGCTATTAGAACTAAGTTTATTAGACTTACCAAACGTTATTCAAATTAATTAAAACTTACATCAACAGAAAGACAAATGAGTCTAGTTTTAGGAACAAAAAGAATTTTATGCATGCATGGTATATATTGAGATTTATGCTCTTTACAATAGACATAACTCAGGCAAACTATTTCAGACACATGCACTAAGTTCAACCATAGTTTCAAACTAGTAAATGCCTTAGAATTAAACAAACAATGTCTCAAATGAAAGTCACGGAAGTATAGTTTCTAGAATAGAAAGAATATTGGCATTTGGATGTATAGAAAGAAAATTATGATCTCTTTACTAGGAGAGTATCATGCTGGAATTTTTGTACGAATAGTTATGTTACATAAACCTACATGCAACTCATGTTTACACTAATTCAAAGTAAGATGATCAATACTTGATCACATTAGGCTTAAAAACCAGTAAATATCATATTTTTTATGCTCACAAATATAAAGATCATATTTTTATAACAACTCATTGACATGCAAGGGCCAATTCTTGCTTCAATGTAACATGTAAATGGTAAATCCTCACATGCAAGACCAAAAACCAATTTAAATCCTATAATTTTCATTATTCCACCTTCTTCCTTATCTCACATAGCTTTTTGTCTTCCTTCTGCCGCTCCTTGATTTGATCCAATAGAGTTGGTTTGGTTGTAGGCTTATCTGATAAATCTTTATTTCGGAAGAATATTTTCTAATTTTAATCTTCATTCTCTCTAGCTCCTTACTTAACTCAGCTTGTTTAGTTAGCAAACAAGCTAATGCAATATGATTTTTTCGACTGAGTGCATCTGCTACTATATTAGCTTTACCTGGATGGTAAATGATATTTACATCAAAATCTATTAGCAATTCCAACCATCTTCTTTGCCTCATGTTAATCTCCTTCTGAGTAAATATATACTTTAGGCTCTTGTGATCTGTATAAATATCACATGATACGCCATATAGATAGTGTCTCCATATCTTCAGGGCAAAAAACCTTTATATATAAGTGCACTCCACCTCTTCTTTTGTCATTCTAAAAAAAATCTCCAAACATCATTCCCTCTCCTCTAGCCGACCAAACCCCAGCACCTCTCCTCTTGTTTAAAAATATATATATAGATTCCATAAATTTCATCTCTCAAGCTCTAAAGATTGAAGGAGAGGAGAAAGAGTAGTTTGAGGATTTTTGAGGAGGAAGTGGAGCAAGTCTCAAACCTAGGTATAATTTCTTATAATTCTCTTCTTAATGTTGTCATTAGGGATATAAGACTAAAATTATAAGATTTAATTTGATTTTTGGTCTTGCATGTGAGGATTTACCATTTGCATGTTACATTAAAGCAAGGATTGGCCCTTGCATATCAATGAGTTGTTATAAAAATATGATCTTTATATTTGTGAGTATAAAAAATATGATATTTACTAGTTTTTAAGCCTAATGTGATCAAGTATTGATCATCTTACTTTGAATTAATGTAAATATGGATTGCATGTAGGTTTATGTAACATAACTATTCGTACAGAAATTCCAGCATGATACTCTCCTAGTAAAAAGATCAAAACTTTCTTTCTATACATCCAAATACAGATATTCTTTCTATTCTAAAAACTATACTTCCGTGACTTTCATTTGAGACCTTGTTTGTTTAATTCTAAAGTCATTTACTAGTTTGAAACTATGGTTGAACTCAATGCATGTGTCTGAAATAGTTTGCCTGGGTTATGTCCATTGTAAAGAGCATAAATCTCAATATATATCATGCATGCATGAAATTCTTTCTGTTCCTAAAACTAGACTCATTTGTCTTTCTGTTGATGTAAGTTTGGATTAATTTGAATAACGTTTGGTAAGTCTAAGCCTAGTTCTAATAGCTAATATATGTACTGGCAATTCCTTCTAGTCTTCCCTTACTGACCAACATTAAATGGAAAGCTGTACACGAGGGTAAAGTAACCCTGCCACATCCCGACCGTCAAACACATAAAAGAAACCTGTATGAAGTTGATAAAAGCAATATAGCATACTAACATGAACTTTCCTCTCAAGGCAACTAATCAACAACGTATAACTGACGTATGGCCTCTTTTGGACTTTTAGCCTTAAAACATATCATGGTGCCACTAGTGTATGCCTTCTTCTTCATGGAATTAGACATTTTGTTTCATTTTAACAGTTTAATCTCCATAATATTGCACATAATTCTGTTTATTTACCAACTTCCATTTTCCACACTTCTTTCAACCCTAAATCTGTTTCAAGGAACTACTATGCTTCAATACATGAACCTGCTTCGACCTCAAAAATTCTCATCCTCCCACAGACCAGATCAAACCTTCTTCCTTAAATGGAACTTCTCTCCATTCCTTTTCAAAAGAATATTATATTCTTCCCCCCAAAGCCATTCAAAATCATAAGTTCACAATCTCTCCATATCTGCTAAAAAATGGCCCGCATCACCTCTGTCGCATCTCTAAATCTTCTAGACTCCTTCCTATCACCTTGCAGTCCTTCCAATGCCTATTCCACATGAGCATCTCTTCTCCTAATCTCCACAAATTTTAAATAGTAAATTAGTTTCCATATCACCAAAAGTTTCAACAATTCAAGAAAACAAGAAATGCGTATTAAAGTAAAATAAATACAAATCCCAGTGTTTCCATTAACTAGATTCTGATTATCTGATGCTTCTTTTATAATTCTAAAGTTTCACTGAAATGGAAGGGGACTTAAGTGCAATGTTGAATTCAGTGGTAGCTTAGTGTAGTTGCTAAAGGACAATTTCGTCCGATCTTAATATGGAACTATGTTAGGGCCCATTTAGTCCTACATTCACAGTACGAGAAATCAAGTGTTGGTTTGTAAGATATTTGGGTACCCTCACTCGAAAACAAGTTTGTATCAGTGAGTTCTCCTATGTCTCTTATACAAAATATATCAAAGTCAAGCCCATCTTCCCGGTTGCAATCAAGCGTTGCGAGTGGTGATGCCAATATTACAGTGTTTGCCTGGAACTAGCGTAGCCAATAGCAAAGGGATGGGATTGCAGAGTTCAACCAGGACTAGACAAGTGCGCAACTATTCTGTATGTTAGGGTCCATAGTCTCATACTGACTAAATGGGGAGTCAATTGCGGGTTTATAAGGGATTTGGTGGTGAGTTGTTCTATCTCCCTAGCCCCAGATCAAACCTTCTTTCTTGTATTGGAGCTTCCAGGCTTTCCTTTTTCAAAGAAGTACTTTTGATCTTCCTCTCAAAAAGCCATCCACACCCTCTAGAAGTCGGGTCACGCCCTTGTCTTATCTCCAAATATTATGCACTTTTCGCTAATCAAAATGGGCATTTTTCTCCTATCCTCCACAAAATCCGAAAAATATATAACTCACGTGTCACCTCAAATTCAATAAAAGGAAATATCGAAGTAAAATAAACATAGTAACCGAGATATGTACAAAGCAATGCTTCGCCTTCAATAATTTCATTCTTTTTCACTGACACAGTGAGGGTTTTATGTCCAATGCTTTAACTTCGTGATATCTCTATCGTAGTAAAATCTTGATTCAGCTCAATTACTATTCAAACAGCTCCTGCAACATCATTTGATCTTTGCTCATGTAAAAAAACAACAAAGAACAGAACTAAACCCGAGAAAATCGTAAGTTTGACCAAATCAAAAACCCTAATCCCTTCCAATCAGTAGAAAAAACAGATGAAATTATACCTTGCGAAGCAGCATCCTCTCAGTTGATCGGATCTGGTTCTTGACGGAGACGGACTTGGCCTTCTTCTTCCCCTTCCTGTTGTCGACCCCCGGCCCCTTTG